CCAAGTTCTAGTTCAAGGTATGAAAGGGATTCATCACAACTTTCCCTTTACACTTTAGATTTCTATAGCAAGTGTGGCTGGAGAAGCTAAGAAATAATCCACAGAGAGCCCCTGGGTCTCCCAAAATCCTGGCCTCTGGGCCACACTTATGCAGGAAGCATGCTGGAATAAGGGTCCACGAGTCTTTGATATGTCCACTGGGCCAGCTATTGTCTCTGGCAGACCATTCCTATCATAAGCCAATCCCCACACCTCATTCCTAGATTGGGCATGTGAACACCACCAACCAGTGGTATTACTTCAAACTCCTTCTTACTCTGTCTACACTGGACGAGATCTCATCAGGTATCCTGGGCTACAGCTAATGATGGAAAACATAGGGTCAGACACAGGTGAAGATGTTGTCCTGGGCCTCTGTTTTTCCTGATGTACCACATTCCAGCTCTGTTTTCCCATTAAATCCCATTTCAGATAACCATCTATGACCAGGAGAACTTCCAAGGCAAGAGGATGGAGTTCACCAGCTCCTGCCCGAATGTCTCTGAGCGCAGTTTTGATAATGTTCGGTCTCTCAAGGTGGAATGTGGCGCGTGAGTATGGACCTCGGCAGAACCTCAGGTCCCTTATTTCTGGTTGCTTCAGACATGTGACTATAAAAGTAGGAATCAAGGAAGAAAGATGTTTCTCCAGACTCTAATCATTGCTGGGAGAGAAGCCTCCATAATGACGCAATCTCAAAAGACAAAACAAAACAAAACACTACTTGTGTAATTCAGTAACTCGAAGCTAAAAGAAACACGAATGAGACTCTTAGTGCCTTGGTACTCCGTTTAGGGGGTGATTAAAGAAACATATACCGTGAGGCAGGACAGCAGCGGTAATCATTTCTGCGTTTCTGGAGACCACAGGCTGCAACCTGGGGTTGTCTCAGAACAGCCCCAGGCCCCTTGAGTTTTTCTTCCCCACAGAAAATCCATAAAGAGGAAGACTATCAAGCTGAAGCCTCTTTACAGCTAACTCACCTCCTGCATGTCCCAGAGTAGACGCTGCTAGCTAATTTCTCTGTAAAAAGGAACTCAGTCCCAGGACTCAGACCTACATTAGTTCCTAGTTAGTCTTCCAGCAGTGTCTTGGTGGTGGTTAATCTCCCTGGCGAGGAAGATCCTTTCTTGTTTTGTCTTCTTACTCTTGGCGGGTTAGTTGAGGTCATTATCATCAGCCTGAAAACATAAAGGCAAGAACTCTCCTTTGGCTTAGACAGAACTGGTTGTTCATGTAGATAGGCTTCCACAGATTGTTCACCTCCAAAACTGAGCTCTTTGTAAAGTATTTTGTAAAGTATTTTACTTTAAGGGTCATCAGTAACTGAGACTTGGTTGTGAAATATTGATCTGAGGTGTTTTAATAGATAAGGTATAGGTATGTATTAGATGTGCAGGAGGAAGGACCCACAAAGTGACAAGGAAACAAGAGACTAGTTATCCATCAGCTATCTAGTCATGTCTTTGCCTCCTTTGGAAGAAGCCAGTACGTTTGGCTGCAGCCAAAGCAATAGTCAGTCACTAGACCCCAAACCTAGAGCCCCAAGTAGAGAATAAGGTTACCTGGAGAAAAAGGAAATATAACTTTAGCCTCACTTTGCCAAAACATACTAGTCAGGCCAGTGAAGTAGACCTTTTCAGTGGATAACCCCAAAACAAATATTACATTTATAAACCCACATAGTGTAACTGCCAGCTCATGCTCCACTACTTGTAATAGATGTATTACTTTGTATGGCTCTATTGGAATTGGCTTGATATTTTACCCCACTATTAACATCTTAAACAAAAGATGCCTTCTCCCTAAGGCCACATAAGCTCTGAACACCATGAACAAACATCATTACTTGTCTCTGGCAGCTGGATTGGTTATGAGCATACCAGCTTCTGTGGGCAACAGTTTGTCCTGGAGAGAGGAGAGTACCCTCGCTGGGATGCCTGGAGTGGGAGTAATGCCTATCACATCGAGCGACTCATGTCCTTCCGCCCCATCTGTTCAGCTGTGAGTCCTTGAAATTTTCATTTCTGTGCCTGTGGTGGGTGGGGCTAGAGAGGGTGCATGTGGACTGACACTTAATGTTATTTCCCATCAGTTATGCTGAAATGTGGCAGGAAGAAGGATAAAGTGTAAAAGAGAAAAGAAAAACACTGCTCCCTATGTTTCTAAGTCTACCATTTGATTATTTTCTGCTAGATAGTATTTTCATTACGTAAGGGCCTTCTTACTTGGGTGGCAGGAAGCAGACTTTCTAAAGCTCAGATCTTCAAAAGTGCAATCAGATAACTAGTAAGAGCACTTACCGTGTAGGAAAAGTAGATCCTTGACCAGTTAAATTTCAATCTGTGCAGGATTTTACCTAGGAATGGAAATGCCAAAGTAACCCTTTAGTAAATTGGAATGACTGAAGACATAGGCAAATCTTTCAGTGTCTCTTATCTTTGATTCATAACTCTCTTGTTTCTAACACTAAGCATTATTTAATTATGCATCAGAATGGAATGCTTCTAGTCTTTGGAGGATTTCAAGCAGAAACAGGATGATCTCCCACCCCCAAGGGTGTGTCAAAAAATGATACCTATATTGAGTGAGGCTGAGCTAAAACCTTTCCAAGTATTAGTCTATATCATGTGATTTTTCTCATGACTTCAGTTGTCAATGATCTCACCTTAAAGTCCCACCAAAATTAAAGTAGTAGAGATGGTAACCCAAAAGCTCTTGAACTAAAAGTATTTATTTCCCTATCTGGATGTGTTATCATCTCACTTTAACTCCACTTTCCCCGCCTCTAAGGTATAATTTACACATAGTAAGATACACAAATCCTGAGTTTATATCCTCATGATGGAATGTATTTGAAAAATATGTATTTCCATGTAACCAACACCTTAATCAGATACAGAACAATCCCATCACCCCATAAAGTCCCCTGGTGTCACTTTCCAATCAATTGCTCCTTTCTACTTTCTATTACTAGGGCTAATTTTGCCTACTTTTGAAATATCATAAAGGTTAGTCTCTGCCTTCTTAATGCTTGTGTAGTCTTCATATACCCTACTGGACATTTATGTTGTTTCCAACACTGTGCATGCACACACACGCATGGGCTTACTTTTCCTATTAATTTGTGGGAACTTTTTCCATATTAATATTAATCCTTTGTTTAGCTATGTGATGCAAATATTTTTTCTGCTGTCATACTTCCTTTCAGCTGTCTTTTGTTGTACTAAGGCATTTTATCAGTTATTTGTATATTTTGTATATGGTATGAAATTGGATTAAAAAGGATTATGAGTAATTTTTAAAAATTTCTGTATTGCCTGAAATATTTTTACAACTAATGATGTACTTCCTTCTGTAAATCAGTTTTGATTTGAAAAATGTGGTAAAGAATTACAAAGAATGCCTTAACCCTGGTACTAAACTTCTTTTAATTTCTGTATTACAGAATCATAAGGAGTCTAAGATTACCATCTTTGAGAAAGAAAACTTTATTGGACGCCAGTGGGAACTCACTGATGACTACCCCTCCTTGCAAGCCATGGGTTGGTTCAACAACGAAGTTGGTTCCATGAAGATACAATGTGGAGCGTAAGTGCAAAAACAATGAGTTCCAGCTGGAACTCATTCCAAAGTAACTCTTGTAAAATGTAAGCTTTGTGAATATTAATACATCAATGGTCATGTCTTACTTGATTTCATACATTGATGTCATATTGGCATGACCGTCACATTCTAGTTATGAGTAATTTTGATTCTAAGGTTCTTGGTATCAGCTACCACTTAAAGTCAGTTTTTCCTACCAGACATTCCTCTACAGAAGCAGCATTTATGTTAACTATTCTTGTCTCTTTTTTCATAATGAAGGTTAATTTTCAGCTAGTTGTAGCCATCTGCCTAGCACATCTAGGATGGCTATTGTTTTCTAAGCCTAAAAGTACTCCATATCATTGTCTTGAGGAGAGGCTCAGGTTTTAGGGTTTTGACCAGGTTCCTAACTAGTTTTAATAATCCAATATGTTTGGGTTTTCTAGCTGGGTTTGCTACCAGTATCCTGGATACCGTGGCTATCAGTATATCTTGGAGTGTGACCATCATGGAGGAGACTATAAACACTGGAGAGAGTGGGGTTCTCATGCCCAGACTTCTCAGATTCAATCGATTCGTCGTATCCAACAATAGTGGATTAAAAGCTCCAAGTAAGAATTCTTCAAGCATGAGACCCTGCTAAGCAATCTAGAATGAGTTTTATGTTCTGCTCAGACATTGCTTTCAAATGTTAGCTGCTGAAATCCACAATAAATGTCATTACAAAAAAAAAAAACCCAACTTTGTAGACTGAATTAACTACCTTGCTTTATATAAATCACACTTACAGGGCTGAGAATTTTTAGACAAGCTTCAAATAAACCCCGAATTCCCTTGTGTCCTTGCAAGTCACTTACCAGGCCAAGGACAATGATCCCCTATTTCAAAGAACACTAAAGCATATAATCCAAATGTATCAGTCTACATAGTGACAAACACACTTTTGGTGAATGTTTTTGCATCTTTTCTCATCCCCCACTCTAGTAATGTTGATGTTAGCACTGCTTTTTTTCACCTTGTGACAAAGCAATGCTAAACAAACAGGATGTTTCCCATTTATGTACTGCCATATTGCTTAACTGCTTATTAGTTCTTAATTTCAATTGAAAGAACATAAAGTTCAGTGTCATGCCAAAAAGCAGGATAGCCGCTCTCACAGCTGAGTTTTCAATACACGTGCCAATTCCAAGCACCTTAGTAACCTGTATAATTACAAAAAAAAAAAAAATCCATGACATAAGACCATGCTACTTTAGGACTTAAATTATTTGTACATCTGACCCTTTAAAAAATATCCATGTCATAATCTTAACTTAGTTTTCAGTAACTTTTTTTAAATTAAAGCACACAAAAGATAAGACAAACACCTCAGAAACTTTAAAATTTTTTATTCAACAATGTACACTTATTGTCTCTTAATTTGATCTACAAATTTCTCAAGTTTTTTTTTCTGATAAAATAAGTAAATCTGGGTATGGATGTAGAGTGTTTGTAATTTATATTTTTAAAACACTGAACATGAAGTAAGACATCAATAAGGAAGATCATCACGTAACTGACACTTCCTCAGAATCCATGACATCAGAAACAGCTATGGCAAATACGTAAGCATTCAGCAAAAGGGTAAATTTCTGGCCACTGTTCTTATATCTAGAAAATCAGCCTATCTTTTTGACTGGGCAAAACAAACACTGAAAATACATTTTTTTTAATTGGGAGAGGAAAGGAAAAATATCCTCTAACGTGGTTGTAGCCCGCTAGTTGTCCTTTCCCCTAGATTAAGAGGTAACTCAGCTCCTAAGTGCTGATGCACACAATACACAGAAATTACTTTGCTCCTCTAGTATGTTCGAAGACTGAACATGTGATCTACTGACAGGTGCTGAGGAGTAGCCATAGCCATCTAAGATGATGCTACACTCCTGTATTCATGCCTTTTAAGGCCATGCATTACGGGCCACCTCTTAAGTCTTGACAGTAGACTTAGCTTTTAACTGTCACTCAGTGAAGATACAGAAGGAAGGGTTTTGCTGTTTGCAAATCAACAACATACATCAGGAGCACATTTAATGACAGAGAAGTAATCCTATACATAGGAAAAAGCTTTAAAATGTAAATACTTCTTTATCTAGGAGCAGATGGGAAATACCGTTAGTATTATCTCTACTTAATAAACTTACTAGCCTTGTCTAGAAAGGTTCGGAAGAGAATACAAAACAATCTTTTAAAAAGATGATTTGACAAAATCTGTCCAGTACATCTACACAAACTTTTAAGTACACATACATGTGAAGTAAAGCTATTTAGTACATGCAGACTGCAGCAATTTAACCAAATTAGCCCAATTTTAAAATTTGTTCTAATAAGCTTGGGCAGTTTTTAAGATAGGTATTATCTTTAAAAACAACCTGTGCTTTGATCTTTAAATGAATGATTCTAATGAAGTCAATCATTCACTGAGTAAATCAAATTTATGCTAAAGCAAAGGTAAAAAGGATATCCTACCTTTAAACCAGGTTTAAGACATAAATTGTCACAGAACTCCATGTGGCAAAGGTTCTTCATTTTTTTTTTTTTTTGGAAACTGCACTGTTTTTATTTTTTTTAATTTTTTTCTTCCTTCATTTCAGTTTCAATTACTTCCCATTTCTGACCAAATAAACCAAAAGTTCACTTAAGAGTATCCAAGAGTTTGTAAAGCTGATAAAACTGCCCTATTTCAAAAAAGCCCTTTAGAAGATACAAGTCAAGCTCTCATTTAAACCTAAGTTATTTAAATAGGTGCCAGTTTTCCTCTCTTCTAGTCCCACTGATGAGCTAGCCCAGAACTGTAACTTTGAGTCATGTTTCTAAAGATGGTGAAGCTAAGAGCAGCAAAGTAACAAGGATAGGTCACTTTTGGTAATGACACACAAATTAAACTTTCAAAACATGTGCATAGCTTTATTCATCTACTTAGATCTAACCTTTTCATGGAGCTTCGGCAAAATTCGAGTGTGCAAAATGCATTTCTAAAACGTAATGCAAGCAAAGCTTTTCACATTTACACTGGCAGGAAATACAGAGAAACTAACAAGTCACAGTAGGGAGAGTTCAGATCTTTTTTTTTTTTTTAATGACAAGAATTGCACAGTTCATTGTTTTGAGACAATTGTTGCAGACATAAATAATTAAAATTTTCTAAGCAAGGTGATTTAACAATAAAAACTTTTAAAGTTGGAAAAAGCCAATAACTTGGATCATAGCTCACATAGAATTCCAAATTAAAGTGGACTCCATTATCTCCCTAGATTTTGCAAACAATGCTTTTTATAACACTTTACAACACTAAAGGAAACAGCAGGCTGAAACTCTTCAAAGCACACAAGAAATGGTGTCATCACATTACTTGAAGGTGCTAAGGGGAGAGAAAAAGGAAGTGAAGAATGTTTTTACTATTTCCCACTACAGAACAGCCACTAACAGACTTACGAATTAAAACAAAAACAAAAACAAAGTAAATTAAATCACTTTCCCAGTTTATAAAATAGTTCCAGTTAGTGACAAGATCTATAACTTTTAAACAGAGAGCACCAGTTGGGCGATAGAATGAGCATTCCATACTGCATAAAAATTCGTGAGGTGGTAAGAACCATCAACTATCTCAGGCATGGCCTTTCCAATTTTTTTTTTAATATACATGCAAGGCACATTGATATAAAAATAGATCTCTGGCCAACAAATATATTAAATAAGCAAATTAAAATTTTGGCTTTGCAATATTGGCAACATCAAAATATAACCAGATAGCTTTGGACCACATCTTTCTCATATTCCTCCACCCCATTTGGTGTTTTTTCCTCCATCATATTGGGTTCAATCTCCTTCAAGTTTGATTATGTGCTTGAGAAATGACTTTTCCTCTTGTCAAGTAGCATTCTACTAAAGTTTATCTTCACTAAGCAAAAATACACTAGAGAAGCAGAACAGTTGGAGTTTTGATTGATTCAACTAAATTAGATTGGCTTGGGGCAACATTATTTCTCCTCTGTATACAAACAAAAAAAAATTTAAGTCCTCAGATTATATAGTAGACAATTGTTTTTTTTCTAAAAGATCGATCAGCAACAAACCAACGATACTACTTCCTTCAAGCCATTCCTTCCAACTCCTCCTTTTGAGGCAGAGAGGGAAAACAGAAGCAAAATTAAGATTTAGAATATTTTCAGTAGTAGAAGACACTTTAAGGCCAAAAAGTGTAATACTAACAGAATTTGTATTTTCTTAAGTTAATGTCCTTTACAGGCCAATACCATAAATAATTACTTGTACTGATTACCTCCAAAAGAGAATTTTTAAATTCATTCACTTTTGTTAGTGGCTGTGCTACAGGAAAGGTATCAAAGCAACCTATAAAGGTATGGTTTATAGTAATGTAAAAAGTGCATCACATTCTTGATTTTCAGTTTCTCATAGCAGCAGCAGGATTAATCCAAGACAGAAATAATTGTTTTTTCATTCTAAAAATGCAACAATACCTAATGAAATGTATTCAAGATAATGAAAGGACCCTCCTCTATAGAGGATGAAACAAACTAACAAACAAGGGCAAACTAAAGGCATTCACTCGTATTTACATATTAAAACCATTTTTGTTAACATCAAATCTTTACAGCTAGCAAAAGAAATATTTAAGAAAACAGATATTACTAAAGCAGTATCCATTTTTGGAGCCTTTGTTTAGCACCTGAGGAAAAAAGGGTATATGGAAAGCTATATAATTTACCTCAAGTTGGTTTGTTGGTCTGTAGAGTAAAACTCTTGATATGCAGCGAAAGTGAAACTAAACTGGAAAATAAATGTTTGTAGCTACTTTAATAAGGCTGTTAGAAAAGGGATACTGCAGTATTGTAAGATGGCTTTAGAACTCTGGACGTAAAATTTTATGGATAGGGAAGTCTGAATCAGCAATCCCATATGTGAGGATGGCTGCTCTGTAAGTTTCCAGCTCATCATTGCTATTTGACACTCCTAGTAATGCAAAAGCAACAAACCATTCATGGTTCACCGGGTGTTTTTATTGTGCAGACTACTTAAAACTCTTATTCGCGAGACCCTTCTCGAGTACCAAAAGGGTGTGAACTTTAATTTAAACCTCAGTAAAGTAGTGCTTTTGAATGAAGCCAATGATTCATCATTCATTAAACCAACCCAGGGTGGTCCTGGTTCTCACACATCTCAGACTGATGAATATTTAAAAAGCAACATTTTAAGATACTTAAAGCAGAAGCCCATCTTTCTCACTATAAAAGAATCCTGGTGCTCTGTCAATTAATTAATGAAAGTAACGTTGATACTAAGAACTAACGACAACCTATGTGTCTCTCTGCAAACTGAAGAGCAGCTATTATTCTTCTAGTTTTGTCCTCTGTCCCTCCCCTTTAAACAAATATCAACACTTTGGGGGAAAAAAAGATGAGCAAATTCTACCTTCTTTAAAATACAACAGTAAAATTATGGGTAGCGGTATTAAGACACTGCCTGATCAGAATCTACATCAACTGGTGCAACATCAACAGACCTGATGAGAACATACATTTGTCCCAATATAGTGTGTTTCATAATTAGCACAGGATATAAGGATCATGTGTTACTTGAAGATATGGCCCAATGGTATAATGATACCCATAATTCTAGGAATTTGGACTTTTAATCTATTTCTCTGAGGAAGAAAGCCTTCAAAGGATGACTCCCTCCTTGTTTAGTGGAATTTAAAATCAAGTAAAGTCCTCTTCCAGATTTCCTTGACTGTGGCCATTTGGTATACGACAATTTCACACTAAATGGCTTTTTTGTGTTTTAAAAAGTTTACAGCAAAAAATAAATCATTAGATGCCTTCAAATGAATTAGCAACAAGCCTACTAACCACCAAGCATGAAACTACTGCTGCTATGTAATGTTGTGTGAAGAAACACATTTTATATTGTGGACAACACTCATAATTGAGCTTTATCGTATTTTCCCTAGAAACTGTTACTGGAAAAAACAATGCAGCACTTTTTACTTCTTTATAAAGTTTTCGCAGATTCTGTATTGATTAGGTAAGCAGAGGATTAAGAACAGTAAATTCTAAAATGGAGAGAAGCTCTCCAGCCATTTATTTCAAGAAAAAAACTGGCATTAACAAATTCCTAGTTATTGTCTTTCCCCTCTCAGAAAGCAGAGGAGGAGGAAGGGCTAACTATAGATGCTGTAAATACACTGTATGTGAAAGCTCATTACTAAGGTCAGAGGAAAGGCTATGGAATTAACTTCAGTTCAGCAAAGTGGGGTGAATAAAGAGAAAGGTAAATACACCCTGTCTTTTGTGGGGAAGGGGAATTATTCAAGACATCTGCAAAAGAGTGGTATGTGACACAGAAGCCTACGATCAAGACAGATTTAGAAAGAAATCTTCACCCATAATTAGTATCTTCATAGCTATTAAAAAAATAGGTCATGATTTCATTCTTAGTGCCATTTTTCAAATACTACCCTTTTAAGGATTAAAACCACCTGACTTTATTCTGTGTAATGAAAACAAATGGCACAAAATAAATACAAGTTCATTCTCTGAATACTAATACAATGTCTTACACACATTCATTTACTAATTTTTAATATCTCCTTCTCTCTCTCATACACAAGCACTCAACACACACACACAGAAACACACACCTTTTCAGTCTTTATAATGGAGGGATGTTAAAAATCCCCTCTAGACTGTATTTGGTTTATGCTACAGTACTAATACTCTGAGTTGAAGAAAAATTCTTTATACCGAACAATAACACATCAATGTTATTTAAATGTGCTAAATTAATCACAGCTGAAGTTTAGAAGCTTACACAAAATAATCAGAAAACAGATCAACTCTTTTTAAGTTTTTTTTTTTTTAATAAGTGCTCTGTAAGGAATTGTGTGAGGACCTAGGAAGAAAGATTGCAACAAGTAGAGTTAAGTGTTACCAAACAGCACAAAGGAGATATGTCCCCAAGTCCTGCTTGTACCTAGGCAAATAAGCCCATTCACCCAATGCCCAAAAAATACTGACAGTTAATATGATGGGGCACTAGGGTTTCCAGAAGGTTAAGAGACATTCCTAACTTTATACCTCTAACCATATAATCAGAGAAATTTCAGTGGGGAAATCAAAGTGAAATGTTGCATTGTTTCATTTAGAAGTGAGACTCTCAAAAACCTTTGGACAAACACAGAGAAGGGATACATTCTTTTTGGCTTCTCTAAACATGGGAGGCCTAAGCGGTATGTTAAGGAAGCTCGAAAGCAACCTCAGCTTTCAAAAGATATTTTAAAGTAAGTGTTGCTTCTAAAGTAAAAATTCAGATGGGGGCTTTTTTTTTTTTCCTTTTAAAATATATATTCATTCAACCTCTGTATGTCACAAACCCAGAAAATTTCTTGTGAGTTGTGAGACAGAAGAGCTTTCAAATTCCAGGAAAACAAAATAGATGTTTTCAAAAAAGGAAGGGGAGGGGGGCGGGGGGAAGAACCTGGCCCTAAGGCGACAAGTGGTTGGTTACACAAGGCAATTGAACACACAGCAGAACTTTAAAACCTATAAAACAAACTGGAGTCTTTTTTATCCTTTAATCAACCTTGTATCTTTTTTTTTTAACCTTTTGAAAATTTTTATTTAAAAAAAACACAAAAACACAGACTTCTTTCACTTCAGTATGTGGTATGATGCATTTTTCCAGTTTGTTCAATGCTTTAAAGCTCAAGGATGCCTCTGCTTTCAATTGTACATGGGCCTGAAGCATCCTAGCTTTTGGCAAGCAGGCAGGAGACTCAACAAAAATCAAAATAGAACAAGGCAGACTAAATGCAGGGCACATCTGTAAACATATTATACATTTGAAAATTACAATATCAGTAAAAGTGATACAGTTTACAGGTGAAATGAAACTATCTGGAACTGGCCTACCACAAGTTTCTGAACCTGGACTGATACAATAAGTTATTATATATATATATATATTATGTATAAAAGTTTTGTTTACATCAAGTGGAATTGGCAATCCATGCTTATACTTTTAAAATCTAAGCAGGGCAGAAATCCAGACTATAAAGATATTTTCTCTACTCTATGCCGAGTCCAACAACTTCTTTCACAAACTACTTATTAAAAAAAAAGCCTCAAATTATCAACAAAACAAGAAAACTCATCCATACTACAGTCGCTCAAAACTGGACATTTCTTACGCAAAAGGGTTGAGCAAAAGTAGTTACTTTCTCCCCAAATACCTAAGGGGATCCAGTCTACTTTTATTAGAAGACTACATCTCTCTATATAAATGCCCTGCTATTTTAACCTGTATTTAACATACATGGATATACTAATTTCGGTGTGTGTGTGGTGCAATGCTATCTATGTCAGGCCAGAGAACTTGTTTTTATGCCACTAACATCACCCAATCTTAAATTGGACCCTTAGTTTCTGCACACACAAAAAAATTTATTTTAGCATGCTATATACAAGCTGCAGTGCAACAGGATGGTAATGTGATAAGACAGGGCTAATGCTCTTCTCTGCCCAAAAGAAAATTTCCAGAATTTCACATTATTGTCCTTAAAAAACCCATTTGCTCTAGTAATAAAATATATTTATTAGAATATAATTAGAAGCTAATAAGCTCAGAAGTATAGTTTGCATGAAAACACACTTTCTATAGGCAGGGTTTATTATCTCCTTACTGGCTAAAAACATGAAGTTTTATAGTTTTCATGGACTTTTTTCTTCCCCTTTTAGATATATCTGAGAAATTAAAAGAGAATTTACAGAAAGGTATGGAAGTTTTTCTTCAGATGTTTGATGAAAAACAAGAAAAACAGCACATTTAGTGTTAGTGACAGAGAGCAAGTCTGGAGCACCTACAGTTGAAAAGCAGAATATATTTTTGCTCCCACTTATACAATTACATTAAAATATGGGCACAGGAATATTTTTCCATGTATTAAGTATCTAAAGCCAACTGTTTGTTCTGTAACTTTTCTTCAAATGACATTTATGGATTTTTTACTTATTAAAGTCCAATATGCAACCAAAGTCAAGTGAACTATGTACCACCAACTATTCCAGAATTGTAGAACTTCAATTCCCTCCCCTTTTCCCACCCCACAAAAAATAAAAGGAAAGAAAAATATTTCCCCAACACCCCACAGAGGCTGCTTAACTCCTGGCAAGACATGCAAATCAATTAAAAAAAAAAAAAACCCACCCCTGCAAACTTCAAGGCATTTATCCAGCATTCTCGCAGGGCTCAAAGTATAACCAAAAGATCAAGGGAAGAGTGGGGGAAAATGTTGAATCATTCTGGGTTCCCCATGATTAGTGTATCACTTTAGTCACAGAACAAGATAGAGATCTTTTAAGTGGATTTGCCTTTCCAGTGGGTCATTTGTTGCCCAAGTTGATGACAGCAGGAACTTTAGAACCACGCTTGTTAATAAGTCCATATTCATTAATCACTTGCATTCACACTTAAAAACAAAAACTAACAAAAGAAAAAAAAAAAAACTATTCAGTACCGAAGATTAAATAACCATGTGTAGTCTCTTGAAATAAATTTGATTCCTTAAGAAGTCTAATTACTTTCAGTTGCCTTTTTTTAAATAACTATATATATATATGTATATATATATATTTGTATATATTATCCTGTGATTCTACTTATGGTTCCTCTGCTGCGTTGAAGATCTAGGAGCATAAAAGCCTTGTGTCCCCCATGAACGGTGGCTCTAATGCTGCAGAAAGGTTACAAATAGGCAGTCTGGTCCTTCATTGATCTGGACTATCCATGGCTTCATTGTAAGTGATTATCCTTTTGGGATCTGGAGGGTTAAAAAAGAAATACATAAATAAAAAACAAGCTCTAGAATCTTCAAATGCCCATGTTCAAAAACCAAATCCCAAAGAACCATCATCATTTAAACTTCCCCTTTTATGAAAACACAATTTAAAGATCATTTCCTCTTTGTATTAACGCAAGTGTGATCCACTTTTTCTCAACCCAATAAATAGTTCACTATCCCAATGGATTCCCAGAATCAGGGTCTTTCTTCTAGCCAGTGAGGGGCCCCAACACCTACAGATTAGAGGGTTGAATTCAGTTAACAAGGATAATTTGTTTCTCCTGATTATAAAATGAAAGTAGCACAATTGATAAAAGCAGACAAAGCTTAAGTTGTCAATGATTCAATACTAAAATAAACACTTTGATTTATTTTCTTCTGTTCTTCTTAGCAAAATGAAGTTAAAATTTATTTTAACCAGTGTGGATTCTCTAGTAAGGAACTATTCAAGTAGCACATAGCACCAAAAACTTCAGATTAAATTAAGTCTGCAAAACTACCAATTATGACTTATTTCTTCCTTCTCATTTCCCATACACCACTAGACTTTATTCTCAGCAGTAGCAAAAATCTATGGATATCCTAGGTTCAAGTATAAAACAGTTACAATGTGTCTGGGCAAAGACTTCAGTGCTATTTTAAATTCTTAATGTTTATCTGTATGCTCCCCCTCTTCTGGAGAGCAAAGATCTTATTACATACTACTATGTCTACCTATCCTAAGAACTTTTTAAAGTACACATGCTTTAATGAAAAATAGGGAGCCAATAACTTGTCACCTAACAGAAAAGTATAAAGGCCTGAAAATAATATTCAAGAACTCCAGCTCACCTAAGCAACCAATCTTAGTCCATAAATAATACAATATCCTTTTTGGGACTCCAAGGGACATCCACTAGCAACTTGCCATGGAGATGATGATGCTCATTCTCAACAATTAATAGCCATTTTGGAGGTAGGTCTACATTTGCAGGGTATATTTGATAGTCTATATTTTAAAAATTTGTTTCAGTAAGAAGGTACATAGAAAGCAACTCAAAATAATCTTAAGAGCTTGCTAGTTATCTTCAGGCCACACAGCTCTGTTGACAAAAAAGACCTGGCCTAAGGACAAGAGAGAAGGTGGAAAAAGCAATGTTGGAAAATCAAGAAAACCTACTTTCTAGTCTCGATACTTTCTACCTTATATAATTACCTCTCTGTGTCTCAGTTTCCTAATTTGTTTCGTTTTTTAATTTTTTTTTTAATTTTAGGGGGGAGGTAAGTTAGGTTTATTATTTTCTCTAATGGAGGCACTGGAGATTGAACCCAGGACCTCAGGCATGCTAAGCACATGCTCTACCACTGAGCCTAAACCCGCCACCCCCCGCCTTCCTAATTTGTAAAACAAGAAAACAGAATTTCTACTGTCCTTCAAGTTCTGAAAAACTTCATCACTTTATTTCAGGTATCCACAACTACCGTATTTTACTGTATTTGTAAAGAAGGTACACAACAATCAGGGCAACCAATTTCAAGTTTTTGAAAATTTCAAATTATCCAGATGTGAATTATCTAGTCCCTCTGCCCTCCAGCTATTCACATCTCATTTATGGGAGTAAGGAAGCTAATCTGCTATTCTTTAAATTTCTAATCATCTTTTCAAAGAATATACAGTCCAAATAAGGTTTCTAAAACAGCTGATATTTTTCTGAACTATGAATGTCAGTTCTTGGGCTACCCCTTGTCTATCACACAAATACAGATAAAGACTGGCCATAAGTGGAAACACTTATTCATGTTGGTTTCCTAGATTAGAAATATTTATCGTCTGTCTTACTTTCATAATCAAGGGAAAAAGATATTCTTGTTCTTCACATAGCAGGTAAAGAGTACTTTCATATCCATTCTTTTCACTTATAGTATTATCCCATCTTGAGCAGTCCTAGTATGGCAGCTAGTGCCCTTTGATTGTAGTTATTAAATAAGTCAATACACAAAGGATATTTACTTCGTAGGCCACTATTCACATTATTCCGACCTCAAAATAATGTACAGTAATTAGTGATTAATACTAACATTTCAGATAACCTAACCATTCTTACCTTGTTTCTGCAAATTCCAAACAGATTCCATTTCTGCAAAGAAGAAAAAAAGGATTATTTTTACACACCAATTTTTTTTTAAATACAAGGTTTGGGTTTTTTTTTATAAACCAAGAGCAAAGTTCAAAGCTATGCGCTTTTCACTTTAAATCTAAGAACCTATATAGGTGATAGAGCATAGAGAATAATAGTCAATCTTGCAATAAATTTTAACGGTGTATAATCTTAAAAAAAAACAACCCCCCCCCAAACAAAAACAAAAACAAATAAAAAAAGCAACCAACAACCTAGACTGGTTCTTGCTGGGCTGGAGGTAGGACTGAAGTAGCAGTTCTACAAAACACTCATTTTCCTGTAATTCTTGAGTGTCATTCAGATGGCTGTAAGTGTTGATTACAGAAAGTCAATTATTATTTGAAATCAAACTGCCAAAAGAACAATTCTGTCTAGGCAATCAGCAAATATATGCAGAAGTATGCAATAAAATATATCTTTTATAATAGTTATTAAAAAACACCAAGGTTGGTTTTTATTTATTTTGGGGGGGGGCAACCCACAACCCTTCAACAAGGTGCTCAAGTCGTCTGAATGAAGCATTCATCAAATTTGATTAAGGAAGTCTGATGCTTAAAATGTTTCATTAAAATTTTACTTAACTCTTAGGCTATCGGCAGATAGTTCTCTCCTCCAAACCAAATCTACTCTTATTTTAACCTGTAAGGTCAAAATGCCAATGCATACCTATTTATTAGTAACATACAATCCTTATTTGCTCCAATTCCATTCAAATATGATTATCTATAATGTGCCTACTTTAGTATCTTAGAAGCAAAGTATGTACATGACCAAACTATAGTGACATATAGAGAGAAGGCAAGAACTCTACCTGGAAGCATAAGAGAAAGCTTCACAGAAAGGATATTTGAAGTCTTGAGGAATCCACAAGAACCTAAGAATTGTTCCTTAAAAGTACGTACTCTACTAGGAGATTAATGTAAACAAAAACTACTTAGTTCAGGAATAACTATAACTAGCACTGAGAACAAGTGCTCTTCCATGGTACCATTTTGAAAAGACAAAAAGGTGATTTTTTTCTGTATAACTGGACTCTCTGTAACTGTATTCTGTAACTTATCAGCAACCAATTATAGATGAAGAAAATAAAACTGGAGCTCATTAAGATCAGATGTATCTGAAAAACAAATTTTTTCTGTACAGCACAGGGAACTATATTCAGTATCTTGTAACCTATAATGACAAAGAATATGAAAACTAATATATGTGTGTATATATATGACTGAAATATGCTGTACACCAAAAACTGACATTGTAACTGACTATACTTCAATTAAAAAAAAAAATCAGATATATCTGGACATGGATTACAGTTAAGGTACAACTGATGGCTCCCCAGGGCTGAAAGAAAGTAAGTCTATAGATCCAAAATTATTACTTTTGTTTTATGTATATGGATGGGGGCTGAGAACGGTAGAATCACATTCTCCCTGCCCCCCAACCCCCATCAAACTCACTTCTAAAAAACTGAAGATTTTGATGTTTGGAGCAATAGGTTAATTACTGAAAATGATCAAAGTAATTATCCAGATAAAATACCATTCAAAGTATCATAGCAATTCCCTGATGAAACAAAGACTGAGAATAATGCACTGGCTGCCACTTGGTCCAAAAGCTTAGCTGTATACTATGGCCTTTAAATTGCTGGGCAGATGTCCATCCGAAGATTGGCAGAAAAATTCCTATCTCCTAGGAGAAGGAGAGAGAATTGTCATCCAGTCTAACCTGGGGGGGGGGGGAAGATGTATCAGGAAAGGAATTCTAGTCATGGCACTTATATCAATCACTTCAATAAATTTCTAAAACCCCATCAGTTACAATTAGGAATAGCTGCCATAGTCATTAGAGCTGTTATCTACAAATTTCTGGATCTCAGAATGGCTTAAGTTCAAAGATAGGTCTTTCATTGGTTGCCCTCTTACAAAAAAATTAATCCAATCAACCCCTCCCTCTCTTTAGTTAAAGCACAGAAATCTCACATTTTGCAACAAATAAATTCCTAAGAATTTTGGTATACACAGATTACTTGATGCTCACTATTCTAAGTTTGTTTACTGCAAAGATAAATCTATATTTAGTTGTATGTTGAGAAAAGAAAGTAACAAATTTTTAGACACATATGCTGTAACATTTCCCTTTCTCTTCCCCACAACAAACCTCAACCTGCCTCTGCCCCCACTCCCTTTTTGGGGGGAACACACTATGCTCAAGAGTCACAGTAGCAGCCATACTACTTTAAAAGCAAAGTAAACATACAAATTTTAGAATAAAGACAAAAGTAACTATTTGCAAACACTCCATTTCTTTAATGAACTGAAGACATTTCCTTAGCTTTATAAACTAGAATATTCAGATTTATGATCTACTCTAATAGTATAGATTTTAAATTATTTCTGGCAAGAAAATTTTATTACCCTCAAATATAGGTTCTGGAGTAGTGAATTTGACTATGATTTGTTTTTTGTTTTGTTTTGTTTTTTTTAGTTGAAATACAGTCAGATACAACGTGTGACTATGACTTTTGAAGAAGGAAAAGGGATGTATGACCTAGCTAAAAAACTAGCCATGCACCAGCCTAGCTTTTAGCTGAGAAATCAGCATTACCTGAAGAGCTGAACTGAGAAATGAATGCAATTCCCTGTTATTTAATATTAATTACTTCTATAACTAGTAGTAACTTGATTTCCTTGATTAGAATTGTTTCCATGAAACTCAAAGTTAAGATGCAAAAGGGAAATAAATCAAATATTGTTTGCATGATTATATGCAAGAAACACCAAAGTAGACAATTTATTTTGTTAAAATGCTGTCATTCAGACCACCACCATCCAAATTTGAAATTTTACTATATTAAAATTTAAAAATTCAAATAGTTATGCCACTCATCGAATAAAGAAAATCTAACATTCAATTTTCTAAAGCAGACTACTTTCTACATAGCTCCCTATCACAATGCTTCCTGTAGTGAATGTCCAATTACCTACAAATTCTTAATTCGAAGTGGATTAAAAAGCACTACTTAGGGGCTAGGGATATAGATGCAAAAACAGAAAGAAATGCTCTACCTCTGTGAGCTTGGTAAAACAGGTAGCTTTTCTAGGTAGAAGCATCAGCACAAAACTTGAGAGTATTAAAAAAAAAAGCAAGGTGTGCTAAAAGCAGAGTCAGCAAACTGGGTTCTACTTACCACCTGTTTTTGTAAATAAAGTTTTATTGGAATAGAACCACACCCATTGTAAATATTACCTATGGCTGCTTTTGTGTGCAAGGCAGAACCAAGTAACACATAATTACAACAGAGACCCTATAGCTCACAAAGCCTAAAATATTTACTATCTGATCCTTTATAAAATAAGTTTACTGACCTATGCTTTAGCAGTAATTTAGTAAGTCACTAAGAGGAAAAGATTTAGATAAAGAACAGCACTATTTAGGAAACAGAGATGAAAAAAGTCACCAAGGAAAGATTCAGAGAAAGCTATTCTGCTATTTGGGGGATAGAGCATAAAGCATTCATGAAAGGAAGTTTATTTAATAATACAGATGGAAGGGAAGCCACTGAAGAAATCTGAGGTTCCTATACCAAATATTAGGAATGATTCCTCGAGGCAGCTGAACAGAATGGATGAAATGACAATACAGGAAAAGAACCCAGTAAATGTTACTGCAAAAGTGAAGAAATTAGAACAGTTGTTATTAGAGATGGAAAAGAATGGAGATGTTAGAGAGAGGACCTATATATAACTTAACAATAAGGGCTATATGTTAATTTACTAAGAGGGAAGGCAAGAAAGAGCAAGCAGGTTTGGGGAAAAAATAAATTCAGTTCTATAAACAGAATTTGAGTGGTGATGCTGAACTGAACATATATGGTCTGAACTTAGGGTAAATGCAGCTCAAGTCTTAAGCTTAATACACAGCAACAGAATTAGATATTACCGAGAGTTTGAGTAGCATGAAAATGGGACTGAAGGAACATCAACATTTGAGAGAAAGAAAATGATACCAGGAAGGTTATATTAAACATGTAGAAAATAGGAGAGTGGGTAGAGTTAAGGAAATGCAAACTAGAAAATTTAGGGAAGGAATGTGCAACTACTGCAATTCTTACCTAAAGTTAAGACATTTATAACTTTCTAGTTATCTATCCCTTTTTCTCTAGCCCAATGTCACTGCCCCTGTTTCAAGCAGTGGTATCTTAAGAATATTTCTGCAGCTGTCTTTTAACTGGCCTCTATTGCCATTACTCCAGCCTCACTTTCTATCTTCTACACCATGGTTATAATTCTCTTCTTTTAAAAATACAAATCTTAAAGTGACCACACTGCTCTAAACACTTCAATGGATTCTCACTGCAGACATGGAGATTGGATCTGTTTTTGTCTTGTATAAAATTTCTAGCATTTGAAACAGTAGCTGGTACCTTAATAAATTAAATTAGAGGACTAACTTTAAGATTTTTTAACTTGCACCATTCACCTTCCTTGACATTGGAATGACCGGCAATCTTCAAACACTACTCCACTTCCACCTAAAATATTCTGCCTATTCTTGTACAATAAATAAGCTAACTTCCACTTCTTTTTTGAATTCTGACTACTTTCCTCCCCTGATCCCATCACCTACCTTAGGGGTTTCTTTATGTTTGAAATGCATTTTTCTATAGAGCAATCACACTAGTAATAATATTTCTTTCCATGTATGTTACCCCTTTAGACTGAGTTCATTAATAACATGAGCTCTCCCTTTCTATTTACCATCATTGCTTCACACATGCTTGGCACAATAAAATAAATGTTGATTTGAATGAAATGCTACTCATAAATCAATGAGGAAGTAATATATAAAAAAGTCGTATTAAATACTCATTTGAAACTGCTAATACTCAACCTTTTTTGACCTACAAAAACAGCAATTTCATATACTCTGACCAAATAAATTCAGCATTTAACTCTAAA